GCCTAGCAGCTTCCAAGGCGGAAGAAACAGAGTGGCCCAGGGGAACATCATTTTGGTGGTCAGGGTAACGAGGGAGCGGCTCCAGCGGCTGATGACGTGAGGGGCGCAGCTCACGGAACTCCTCAGTTCAAGGTGGGGCCCCCTGGCCTGTCACTCACAAAAGGTCTCCTAGGTGCAGTGAGGTCAGATCCAAACTTGGGAGTCAGCCCCAGACGTGTAGCCCGAGGCTACGTGTGGTGTGGGCTTGGTCACGCCCTTTCTTCCAAGGAGTAAAGACAGGACTTGGTGACGGAGAGAGGCCGCCCCGGGCATGGATGTGCCCCACTCCATCGGCACAGACAGGAGCCGCTGCGGCGGCAGTGGCTGCCTCCAGCCCAGATGGGCCAGGTTCTCTCCCTCCCCGAGTCAGGTCCAATTCAGCCACCCCAAGACACGGCAGGCAGCTGCAGGGCCTGGGGGCGCCCCCACCCGCGGAGGCCCTCGCCTCCCCAGCCGCCCTCACCCGTGGGAGGGCCCTCAAGCCCCCTGGCTGGGCTGCTGGGGTGCAGGGCAGAGCAATTGGCGGAGGTGGGAGTGGCGGGTGGGGGAGGGGCGGCAGTGGTCAGGGTAGAGAGGTGACGGCCTCGGTGGCCCTCAGCCATGGCACACAGCTGCTGTGCCTGGAGCTAGCGTCTTCTCACGCAATCAGCCAAACCTACGAGGTACAGATGTTATCCCCCTCCTGACAGAAGACAGAAGCTCAGAGAGGTAAGGTGTGGCCAGGGTCACAGCCAGGATGTGAATCAGAATTCCTAATGCCCAAGTGATTAGCCCTGCCCGGGTGGGGAAAGGGCCACACGGTCCAGGGGGCAACCGGCCCCTGGGGGCTGGACAGCAGGCCACCCTGGCCAAGGGGACTGAGCAGGCCGGTTTTGCTGCAATGAAAAGAATGTGCATTTCGGAGCCTCAGGAAAGATAAAATTCCCCACTGAGGGCTGACTTCTCCCTCTGCAGCCTTCCTCCGGGGGAGAGCAGCGATGGGGCGCAGCGATTACTGCCTCTGAACTGAATTTTTAAACTGCACCCTCGGGACATGACGTGAGGAAAGAATTAGCTGGAGAAGCAGAGGGAACAGCTTTGTGTTCCTGGCTCAAAATAAGATGACACTCCACAGAGGGGGAGGGATGTGGAGGTGCAGTGGAGAGGGTCAGAGGCGAGTCGCAGGCACCCCAGGCCAGGACAGGCCCTCACTCAGGCAGCCAGAGGCCGACAAAGCCTAGGCTTCCCAAGGGGCCTGTGGGGGCGGGGCCCGCGCAAAGGGGCAGAAGGGCAGGGGTGAGGGGCCTGCAGCCTCCCTCTCCTGCCACCTCCCTGGGCAGGTCTGGAAGCTGCTCTGGCTCCAGGTGGCACCTCTGCCCATGGGGATGGGGCTGCTGGGAGTCAGTCATGGGGTCCTGGGCCACCCTTTACCCCATCATCCGGGGGTGGGGAGGGCCCTTCAGAAAGAGGAGGCCTGGCCCTGGTGGGAGGAACAGCAGGCTGCAGTGTCCTGGACACGAGTCCCTGGAGTTGCCAACCTCCCCCTGCTCCTTACGATGTGGGAAGCTCACTGGAGCTGTTTTGTCTACCAGCAAAACGAGCAGAGAACAGAGGCCAGGGCTACGCTGAGAACAAGGGTGGAGGGGACCAATGCGCAGCACGTGCTCAATAAACAGTCACTGCTGTGGCCGAGGCGCGGGGAGAGCCCACAATGGGCCTGCCTCCTCACAGGCCTGGGAATGGGGGTCTGGTGCCATCTGGCCACAGGGCTGACGAGTCCCGAGGGGAATGAAGCCCTGCATTGCTCCGCTGCGCCCTGGTGGGGCCTGCACACGCCAGGCCGAGCAGGGGAGGCAGCACACGTGCCATGTAACTCCACCGAGGGAAAACCTCAGGGGCAGCACCCGCGCAGCTGCCAGGGACTGGGGCACAGGGAGGCGAGGGATTGCTCATGGGTCCCGGGTTTCTTTTAGGGATGATGAAAATGTTCTAGAAACAGTGGTTACACAACTCTAAATACGCTAAAACCAACAAACAAAAAAGCCCCCACTGAATTGTACTCCTTAAAAGGGTGAATTTTATGGCACGTGAATTATATCTTAAAAAATTAACTGCCCCCAGGCTTCCAGAGGCTGACACTGGTATCTCCCCCACGCCCTCCAGGGAGGCATGGGTACTAAGTGCACCTGGAACCTCTGCAGTGGGGGCCAGAGACAAAGGGGACCCCCCCCCCCACCGCAGCTAAGATCAGGCTCGTGGTCCTCCTTCCAGCCCTCCAAGTGCACCTGGGAAGCTCTAAGCAGCAGAGCAAGGGGCACAGGGTACATCCGCACCAGCTGTGTGGCCTTTGCTTATGACCTGACCTCTCTGGGTCTCAGCCCCTCCAGCTGTATCATGGGCCAACTTGGGCTGCCATCCGTTCTACAGATGGAGACAGCAAGGTCAGAGCCGGGGTGACTCAGTGAGAAACATGGGGACCAGGCATAGGGCATGACCCAGAGGGTAACTAAGCACCCTGCTTCCTCAAATCAAGTCCTGACTGGGGCTGACCAGATGGAGAACCGCAAACCGAGCTCACGGCCACACATGGTGTGAGGAGGCCCAGACAGGCACACAGCGGAACTTGGGAATCAGCATCCGAGGGTCCAACCACCGCTCCACGGTCCACGAGCATTCAGTCCCCAGCCTTAGCTTTCTCAGCAGAACGAGGCGGATAACCTCAGTGAGCCAGTGGCAGACGCCACGCTGCGACGTGGTCGGAGCTCAGGCCAGTGCGGCTCAGCCCTCTCCTCCCTCTCCTGACACTTCCCAGGGTGTCACACAAAACACTCAGGCCACAGCCACAGGCACAGGGCCTGACCCCCGCCAGCAGCACAATTTGTTCCCGGCCAGCGAGGCCCGGCAGTCTCTGGCACACTGGCTGCCTCCTGGCCCGTCACTCAAGCCAGACGCTGGGCCAGCCTGGGGCACTGGAGCAGAGACAAAGGGCCATCGAGGCAGCTCCCGCTCCATGCCCACAGCCTACACGTGGGCCCACGTCTGAGACCTCTCCACCACCTGCCTCGGCAAGAAGGGACACGTGCCCTTTCACTGCCATATCCTCTGCAGATGTGGGTGTTGCTCTAGGACTCGAGCCCAGCAGGCCGGGAGTGGACACAGCTGCTTGATGAAGCCCCGACACTCGGGGTGACTCAGCCCAGGCGGAACCAGCATCCTCCCACATGCTGACAGACGCGGCTTTGAAAGCCACGCCAGCCCTGTTACTTTGCCTTCTGGAACGCTCTTAGAGTACAGCCAAAGCAGGGAGCTGCTGGGCAAATAACGCCCCAGGGGCTTCTTGCTGGATCTGAGGAGACCCCCAAGCCTCGACTCCAGCTCAGGCTCCTGGGGTGGGCGCTGTCCCCTGGCCACGCTGTAGCCTGTCTAGGCTGTGTGGCCTGCGCAGAGAGCTCGCTGCCTGCTCTGGGCATCTGCTCTCCAGCTGCGAGGTGCACCGCGGCCCCAGGCAGCTGGGCCTCTCCACACTAGTGGGGCTCCTGGAGCCTGTGTCCCCAGGTGGGTGTGGAGGGCGAGGAGGGGTGTGTATGCACGGACACGCAAGGTCTGCCAGCAGCCCGGCTGCCACAGAGGTCAGAAAAGCCCGCAGCTGGTGGACACGAAACCAGGCCCCAGAAGCCCCCGCCTTCCTGGGTCAATGTCTCCCCTCCCATCAATTCTAAGCTCGTTCCCCGTCCTCTCTCCTCCGTCCACGAACCGGGTAGCAGCAAGGGCCTGGGAAGAGGTGAGACTCTGAAATCAGAAGACCTCCAGTCCACCCCAGTCAGGGCAAACGTCTGCTCTGCCGAGCTGACGCCACAGATTCCATAAAAACCAGCACGGTACCTCTGCCTGCCCATGCGTTTCTTGGGAACCCTCCAGTGCCCTGCAGCCCAGGGGCCCAGCCTTGGACCTTGGAGCGAGGCACACGACAGGCACAGGCACCCAGGGTGCCCACCGTCTCTGCCCCAGATGTTGGCCCCCCTTCCTCCTGGCAGCAGCCCAGAGGGCACCTGAGAGGCCTGCACCCGAGCCCACGTGGGCCCAGGTCTCCCGGCCGCTCGGCTGAAAGCTGCCCCCTCCCCGCTTCATCGAACCACTAGCCCGTGACCAGGACTACCACGGGCGGCCGGACGGTCACCCCGAAGAGGGCCTACAGCCATGTACACGGAGAGCCTCACAGTATGGACAAGGAGACCGAAGCTAAAAGAGGATCAGCATTTGCCCAATGCCACACAGCACATGTCACTGCCCAAGAGACACCAGGAGCCAGGGCTCTGAACCCCTGGGGGACGCCAACGCCTGGGCCATGCCACCACGCAATTCCTGCCTCAGGGGGTTAGCCGAGGACGGCTGAGCCGCCCCAGAAACTTCTGTTCCAGGGTCACTTGAGTTTCCATAGGCTGTTCCCTGACACACGTGAAGTGGGTACCAGAGCCCGGAGCCACTGGGCTCTCTAGGAAGAAGGCGACCTGGGGAAGGGGCTCCCCAGGAGCAGCCCAGGGGCTCTGGGCGGGGAGATCAGGGCGCGGCACAACCCCTGTAGCCTCTCAGGGCTCTCGGGGCCCAGCACGTCCACCTTCCTCAGCCTGGGCTGCCAGGCACACCCCGCCCCCCACTGCTGATGCCCTCAAGGTGGCTCCTGCAGCCAAGAAAGGACAGAGGAAGAGGACAGAGCAAAAGCAGAAGCCAAGCAGGGGGGCCCACGGCTGGGCAGGCTCGCTCGCTGGGCGGGGGTCCAGGAGGGCCTGTACCTCATTGTGTTGCCCCCACCAGACAGAACCAGCACAGGCAAACCAAGAGCAGACAGGAGCCCTGGCTCCTGCTCGTGGGGGACCAGCTGCTTCCTGGGCCGCCCGCTGTCCTCCCAGGAGCCAAGAGGTCTGGCGGGAAGGAAGGGGGGCTCCTCTCCCCCCCTCGGCCGTGGCCTGGCGGGCGCCTCTTACCTCTGGGCTCCTCCGCCTGCTTGGCGAGCTTGCGCAGTGCAGCGGCAAAGCTGGAGGACGGCGCGGCCTGGGCCGACAGTGCGCTGCTGGTGGCGGGGCTGCCACTGGGCACCAGGGCGCCATTGAGCGGTGAGGGGGTGAGGGGGCTGACGGTGGCGGTGGTCCTGGTCGCGGTGGAAAGCATTCCTAGTGAAGGGGACTTGGGCTCATGGCTCATGCCTGAAATAGGAAGAGAAGAACCAGAGGTCACCCAGAGAGCAGGAGGCCAGCACCAGAGCGGGGTCCGGGGTGGGGGGCTCAGGGTCTGGCCAGCAGGTGGCATGCAAGGGAGCAGGAGCCTGGGCGGCCCCAGAGGACAGGCAGGCAAAGCAGACAGAGCCAGGGTTGCAGAGAGAAGGGGCTGCGAACCCGCAGTCCAGCCAGAGCCCCTGAGGGTCCAGGACACCTCTACCCTCTTGGATCCATAATTAAAGAACAAGGTATGTCCAGGAGCCCAGTGATTGCAGGAGCCCAAAGGCTCCGCCGGGGAGAACCTGACAGCAGCAGAAATCACCCCTTCCGGGGCCTTGGGGAGGGGGACTAAGGCAAGGGGCGGGGCCAGCACTCCCACAATAAAGAGCAGAATGCAGGCAGAAAGGAAAAGGGCCGGACTAACAAGGATGATGAAGACGCGCAGGCCAGCCGCCACGCACAGGCTTCGGCACAGGCTTCAGCCAGGCCGGCACACCACCAATGGGGCGGGCACGGCACCGCCCCCATTTTAGGGAAATAGAAACGGAGGCTCCAACTGTGCAGACCCCAGTATCTGACCTAAGCAGGCGGGCCTGGAGCCCTGGTCTGTGGCCACCATGCCCTCCGGGGTCCCAAAGCCACCCAGGGACCCCGGATGGTCTCCAGCTGAGAAGGTTCTCTAGGGCCTCAGAGAACAGCCCGCCTGCGGAGGACGGGCTGCACCAGCAGTTGAAGGAGAAGTTGCGCACTGAACACAGCGGCCAGATCCCACCGAGGTGCCTTCGCCAGGCACAGACCCTGCCTGGAGAGGCCAACGAGTCAAACTGTGAATCAACCACCCTCCATGGGGAAACACCCTCCCCACGGGGGGCCAGGGTCAGGCCCAGCTGGCCAAGGAGCTGCCATCCACCAGAGGGACATCAAACCCAGGTGGGAGGACTTGGCCACCTTCTTAAGAGTCCCTGGCCCTCCCAGTCCCATCCAAGTGTCAGCGAGGACACAGAATCTCCCCCTCCCTGCCCTGCAGACCTGATCAATAAAGGCTCAACTCTGTCTTGGGGCTCAGAGTGGTGCCATAAATAAGTTCCCCGTGAATGCTTCCTGCCCTCCCAGGGCCACCTGCCCAGGCCCAGCCCTGCTCCCTCACCACAGTGTGTCCCGGGGAGGAAATCAAGGCCGACAGCCTCGGGGCAGACGGGGCAACAGGTCATGTGCAGGGAGGAGCAAATTAACTCCCAACCCCACAGACGGAGACCTGGGAACACGGTGGAGTCCCAGGGACGGGGCGGGGGGGGGGGGGGGGGGGCACAGTCCCAGAACATTCAAGAACACAACAGGAAAGGAAGGTGGGAGCAAGGCCCACCCCCAGGCTGTGCCCCACCCCAGAGCCCACCTCACCTCTGGTCAAGTACAAACCAGCCTGATTCCACCCCCCCACCCCCACGCGGCCACGCGAGCACAGGGGACCCCAAAGGGGCAGGTCCCCAAGACCTCCCCGTCCACTGCCCCCAGAATTAGACTGGAGAGGTCACCTGCCGCCAAACACATGTCCTGGCCCCTAGTCCCAGAGAGCCCGACAATGAGTCTCCTGCTGAGCAGGAAAAGAAATCTTGGGGGCGCAGGCCGGGTGCACGGTGGTGGCAGGGGGTGGGGGACAGCTGACGCATGAAAGACAACATTGAGGCAGGCACGAGCTCAAGGAAAAACCATTCTTTCGGGCGAGGGCTTGTACCTCGGGAACAAAGGACCCCCACAAGAGCCCCCGCGCCCACAGCCGGCAGGCTGGCCTCCCAGCTGCCGGCGGATCACGTGGGCAGCAGTGCCCGCAGCGGCAGCCCCACTGAGTGGCCCAGGCACTGACCCAAGGCTGACCCCTGGTGTCCCCCAGCAGCCGGACTGCCAGAAAGCACAGGTTTCTGACAAGAGTCCTTTCTCAGCCAGGCCGGCACCCAGCCAGCCACTCAGGGACCGTTGAGCACTATGAACTATGGACAGCAGGCTCTGGAAGCTTGGCCCCAAGCTGCCTTCAGTGACCCCCCCCGCCCCTCCCCCGCCCTTGGACAGCAGAGACAGACAGGATGGGAGGTGCACCGAGGCCATGAGGGAGCAGAAAGCAGGAGCCTGGAGGTAAGAGCTCAGCACTGACTCAGCTGCCAGGCGCCTGGGGCTTCATCTGGCTCTGCAGCCTCTGGCCAAAGGGCTTAGGCAAGTCACTTCACCTCTCCCAGCCTCTGTCTCCTTGTCTGTAAAATGGAGATAAGAGGAAAGTCAACCTCACCGAGGTTAATCCCGACCGGATTCCAGGAGCTAATATTTACACGTGGGCTTCAGAGCAGGGCAGGCACTCAGCCACACTAGGATCCCGTGTTACTAAATGGTCCCAGGTCTGGAAGGGCGAGGGGTCTGGTTAGGGCCACACGGATCAGGCCCAGCAAATCAGGGCAGAAGCTGCTGATTTGTGTCTCCTGCTCTACCTGAGGCTTTGCGGGGTAGAGGTGACATGGCGTCAGAAGGCGATGCACTGCTCGGCGGGGCGGGGACCCCAACACCCTGCCTGAGAGCCCTCCGCGCTGTGCCTTCCCCAGGCCTGGGGACAGCCAAGCCCAGGTCCCAGCCTGGCATGTACACCTCGGGCAGAGGGCCAGTTCCATGTCCCTGAGCAGCAGCAGTGGCAGCTGGTGCAGCCTGCACACAGGACACCCCAGGATGGAAGGGACCAGGACTCTTGTCCTGCTGTCCACAGGGTCCTGGCTCAGCACCCACACTCAGAGGGTCGATGGCGGGGGCGGGGTGGGGAGGCTTTGTCTAGAGATACTAAGTGGCCTAAGATGGAGGCCCACCCTTGTCGAGCCCCAGGCAGGGCGTAAAGTGAGAACCTGACGAGGTGCTTGGAGGAAGGTATCCCTACAAGGGGCTTAGGAGGAGGTGTGTAAGGGGGGACCCCAGGACTCCCTCACCCAAGGGACACCTCAGGAGTCCTCAGAGGCCACACAGGCCCTTGGGCTACCTCTCCAGAAAAACCCCGGGAGAGGCTGCAGCAGCCCCCACTTAGCACCCCACGCTGGGCCCACTCATTGCGGCCCCAGACGACCCTCAGAGGCCCATGGGGCATGGGTGGGAAACTAAAGCCAGGAGCTGTCTTACGCTGTGTCTACACTGGTTAGGGACATGCAGACGGCTCAGAGCCATACAGACACAGTTAAGCAGCACATCTAGGACTTGAACCCCATTTCCTGGGCTCAGCTGCAGCACTGTTACCACTCACTATACAACCTGCTCAGTCTGACGCCCAACGCCAAAGCCTAACCAAGGGTGTGGACACGCACACAGGGCTAAAACATGTTCAATTACAGCAGTTCCCCCCAATACGTAGTTTGCTGTCGGGGTATCAGTTACTTGCGGTCAACCACGGTCTGAGAACATTAAATGGAAAGTTCCAGAAATGAACAATTCTTATGTTTTGAATTGTGCGCTGTTCTGAGAAGCGTGATGAAACTGGTCACCACCCAGCCCGAGAAGAGACTCACCCCTTTCTTTGTTCAATGTGCCCATGTGGTGCAGAGCCACTTAGCAGCCACCTCGGCTATCAGGTTATCACATCAACGGTCAGGGTGTATCTCAGTGCTTGTGATCAAGCCATCCTTATTTTACTTACTAATGGCCCCAAAGTGCAAGAGTAGTGATGCTGTCAATTGAACATGACTAAGAGACGCTCTAATGTGTACGTGTGTACAGGCAAAAACATAGTATGGCCCGAGTTCAGTACTATCCATGGTTTCAGGCATCCACTGAGGGTCCTGAAGTGTATCCCCTGTGGATGGGGGGGATAGGGGGTGGAGGCTGCTGTAGAGCAGTTTAGAAAGGTCCACAGTCTTTTTCACTCATCCCTACATGAGGCGGAGACTGGTTCTCTTCCACGAAGTGCAGGCCAGACTGCCAAGTGACCGTGTGTGACTTCCAAGGCAAAGTCATCAAAGGCCCCTCAGCAGCCTCCTCTGAGATCACTTGAGCTGAGGGCGGTCAGCTGCACGGTGGGAGGATGCCCAAGTGGCCTGTGGAGAACCCGTGCTTCAGGGAATGCGGCCCTCCAGTGCACAGCCGTGTGAGGCGCCATCTTGGCAGCTGCTCCTCCAGCCCCGGTCAAGCCTTCGGATGAGATGGAAGGCCCAGGCCCCAGCTTGATGACAGCCTCATCGGAGACTCTGAGCCAGAACCACCAGCTGAGCCGCTCCCGAATCCCTGAATGGTTTTAGGTTTGGGACAGTATGTTACGCAGCATCAGATAGCTGATACAGTGCGTGTCACCACATGCCTGACTGACCGAGACTCAGCTTCTCAATCTCTTCTCATCTCCCTTCCTTCTTGGAGATCAAGAACTTCAACCCTCTGATTGTCTAATCCCTATGCTATATACCCGGAATGAATGTAAAATATTAAATAACAACTGTAATAGAAAAAGAAGTTCAACCACCTGCAAAGAAGTACTCTGCCTTTACCCAGAGTCCACAAAATAGGCTCCTCTGATGCCATCATCTCCCCTCCTTTTCCCCGGTCTGTAGAGAGGTGGTCACCTCTCTTTAAACCCCAACCACCCTAAGACAAAGGTGTCTTTGTGCCCATTGCACAGACTGGGGGAGGGCAGGCTTGGACCCAAGGGCGAACAGATGGTCAGCAGCAGCAGGCCCGGGTTACCCAAACACGGCACCTACGTCGTGTTTACATAAAGCTGGCCGGGGGCCAGATCCAGGCCCCTTCCGGGGACGTGCAACGGGCCGGCTCTGCCCTGCTCTGTAGCCCAGGCCACGCACACGCTGCCACGGTACACAGGGAGGAGCGGGACGTGCAGGCAGGCAATGTCACTGCTGCACCTCCCGCTGACCAGTCCGGAGGCCCGGGAGCAGATGTGAGGTCACTGCCCAGTGGCCGTGTGACAGGCTGGCCAGCTGGCAACTCGGGTGAACATGCTGTGACTGCCAGCTGCCAGCGCT